CGCTAACCTCCACTTCATCCACCCCACCCCTATACGGTGTGTGACATCCTCGTCAATCTCCTCCATCCCCTGAATAACCGATCCAAGGTACTTAAAACTACCCCTCTTAGGAATGACTTGAGAGTCAAGCCTCACTTCAACTCCCGCTTACGTCGGCTCAACTCCAAATTTGCACTCGAGGTATTCCGTCTTCGTCCTGCTTAACTTGAAACCTTTAGACTCAAGAGCATGTCTCCAAATCTCTAGCCTCTCGTTAACGCTGCCTCGTGTCTCGTCAATTAGAATAATGTCATCAGCAAATAGCATGCACCATGGCACCTCCCCTTGAATATGATGAGTCAGTGCATCCATCACCAGGGCAAATAGGAATGGGCTGAGCGCAGACCCTTGGTGCAACCCCGTAATAACTGGAAAGTGTTCAGAGTCGCCTCCTACTGTCCTAACCCGAGTCTTAGCTCCAGCATACATGTCTTTAATCACCCTAATATAGTCAACCGGGACCCCTTTATCCTCTAAGCAGCTCCATAAGACCTCCCTAGGAACCCTATCGTACGCTTTCTCCGCATGAAAATTACGTTAATAAAATCTTTCAGAATGTCATAAGACCATTTTGCCATTGAGTAATATCATAAAGTAAACTCTTTTCAACTTTCATATTTTTTTTCCTGAGACCCATGAACAAATGATAGAATATTATGACACATGGAAATTCAAGAACATAGATATCTCTAATACTTCTATGAATAGAGTCATTTATGGAATTTGTGCATTTGCTCGTTTTGTTTGTATCGTAAAGAACATGCCAAAAGAAATAAGGGATAGCCTTAACATACCTGTCGATTCTCTTGACAATCCTTTAACACCCGTTAATTGCGACAAAATGTGGAACAAGATGTATGAAAGCTTGAAGCAATAATGTTTCTTATGCAAAGACCATCTGGGCCCAATTTTTCCTTAAGTAGCTATAACATTAAAATGTATCCTTAACTATTAAAAGAGTTAGAAAAGTCTTGGTGAAGTTTGAAGAGCTTATTCTTAATAAAAACGTTAGAAATGATTTACTAGAGTTATGGAAGCTTTTGTTAAAAGTCTTAGAATTTAAAGTGTTGTTGGGAAATGAAAATGTTAGGCATGAGATGTCTTGTAACCAACATACTAGGTTGCCACATACTCTAAAATGACTAAGAGTCGTTTATTTGAAAAGTGGCATGGCTGCCACGTATTTTTTTGG